TATCATTGGATGGCATCCGCATCAATAATCTTCAGGAGTGGTCGCAAATGATTGCTATACTAATTGAGCACTATCAAAACTCTCAGAATCACAGCCTTCCTGGGAACTCTATGAAAACAAGTGTTGGTAAAGGCTACTGTGTTCCCTATTCTTTGATTGAAGAGAGCAAACATATTTCGTTGAAAGGCAATGAAACTTCTTGCCCAGATGAATTAAGTCCATTTATTACCATTCCATGCTTGGATCAGGCCATGCCTGATGATGATAATCTTGAGGTTAACCATCAAAGGGATGGAGGTGAACTCCACTGCTTATATGCAACGGATATATTAAACCTTGAGAAATGTGGTGATGGTTGGGGTAGTATTCGTAACAACAGGAGCAGCTGCTTGTGTTCCAAGGTGAATTTTTAGCGTGTCCTATTTTGACAAGAAGTTACATCTTTATATCATTTTTCCAGCTGTTTATGTTTGTCATGTACTGCCAAGAAAAATTGCTCATGTAGTTTGTAATGCGCTATATGATTAGAACAAACACAACCACACTCAAAATGCATTTGAACGTGTGGTGAAGAATTGATGTTTTATTGCAGGACAAAGCATGCTTTGTTCCACTTTTGTCGACCGGTGTAGCATGGGTGGAGATAGCATATTCAAGTCCTCCTCTGCATTGCTCGCAACTTGGAACAACGCGTGTTGTTGACGATGATAACTCAAGGGAGAACCCCTGTGTTAAGACTTTTGTTTTTGTGGGTAATGTAAATTCAATGAAGCATTCAGTTCTTTTGACTTCATATCAACCTCGTTGATCCGCTAAATTTGGTGCACATCTTCCATACGTACTGGAAAAGTTTTTGATGTTCACCTTTAATGTCTCTTTGGCCCTTGCACTTCTCAACAGCCTACCGGTATGTACTCATATAGAAAGGATAACTTTCTCTGATTTCCATGTCTTTTAGCCCTCGTGTGGTCATATCTTCTTGTGTATTTTCTGTGTTAAGCTTCAATGGAACCTCAAGGTGATGTTAGGAAATACCAGTTTTGTGGAAGGTTGCAACAGCTTGATGGTTACAGAATTGTGCTGATTTGGGCCCAAAAGGATAGAAATCATTGTGGATGAAATGGGTCTTATAATGGATAATTTCTTAGAAAGATTAAGCATGAAAAGAGCTTGGAAAACATGAAAGTCAAGGCATGTTTAATGCTGGAAAAACAGTGATGATTTTATGGAAAGATGAAAAGAAAAAAGAAAACACTGCAAATTAGGTTTCGTAAGGCATCATACCACAAGTTTAGGATTATCTGGATGAAGGAAGATTACTGAAGTATCATGTAATAGGTTTACTTTATGGAATTGAGAGTATGACATACTTGGTGTAGATGTTACCTACTCGTGCTCAAAAGGGTTACCCTTAACATATAGGAAGCAAATGATATTTCTGTTCCAAACGGCTTCTTAGGCCTCATTTGTTTGCACTTAATGGAGGTCTGAATCTTAATAATTCAGATCTCAGACATTAAGTACGTTTGTTTTTAAGTCTGAATCTTAATTATTCAGATCTTAATAATTAAATTTGTTTGTTTTTTTACTTCACAACCACGTAATGAGTCTGAATATGTCTGTATGATTAAGAACTATAACAGAGACTTAATTTCATTAAGATGTTATCACATATTCATTATTACCCGCCGCTACCGCCTACCACTATCAACTACCATCATGCCACCACCACCACCACCACCATACTCAACCACCACCACCACCACGCCACCATCATCCTCAATCTTAGCCGCCAACATTATCGACTATCACCACTCACCATCCTACCACTCCGACTACCATCATTCTCACCCACAATCAATACTCATCCACCTCAACTGCCACAACTAACCACCCTATTCCCATCAACAACGACAGCCGGTACCGCCCATCATTATAACCTACCACTGCCCACCCACCACCTTCCTCAATCACAATTACTACCACCAGCCGCCATTATTAACTATCACCACCCACCACCACCATCCTCAATCATAATCGCAACCACTACCAATCACCACTAGCTACTAGCATGAACCACCATCATCAACCAAAACTACTACCAACTACCGCCTCTAGTCGGCATTCACCCGTTAGCTATCACCACCAACAACTATCATATTTTTAAAAACTATATATTTATTGATAGAATATTAGGTTAGTATTTCATTTGAATTTTATGTTTATTAATTTTCAAATAAAAATAATTTTTGTACATTCAGATGTTAAAAATCAAACAGTCTTAATTATTTAGTATTCAGATCTTAATATATATCTTAATATATTCAGATGTGTATTTAGATTTAGATGTCTTAATCTTAGTACACATCTTGATATTCAGATGTGTATTCAGATTCAGACGTTTTAATCTTAAAAATAAATAAACGAGGCCTTACTGAACTTTATAGACTCCACAGATTGAAAATTTTCCTAGAAAACTCCTGTTTGCTATTGTGATTAGCAACAATACCATGACAAAATCATGAAACATCTATTGGACGGAACGAATTGCAATCTGAGGTGTCAAAAACAAGACAAAAGATGTTAGTACTATTAAGGTGTAAGCATGTGTTATGCCCGTTTTTCAATGAAATTATTACCTTATCAAAAAAGGTGGAAGCATGAATGAAATACCTCGGTGATATGGTTCAAGTGGGTTCAACATTTGTAAATGGTCGTGTGGGTGATTCCATTCTCTTACATATTCCCTCTATTTTAGGAGACCTGGACTATATTTTTTTTAAAATGCTCTCTATTGGGATGTGGCCATAGTTCTTTTCTCTCTCTTCTCCCTTTCCAAACTTCGACATAGTCCTTTGCTTAGTAATGGATCAGGGAATCACTTCTATTTTGAGCGAAAAAACTTTTGAATTAGTTAGCGTTAATGAGGAAGGTGAAAGCTAGTTTGTCCATACAACGCGCAACAGCTGATGTATGCATCAAATTAAGATTGATGAAAGCAACTTTCGATGGGTATGTGAAGCATTGATTCAAGCCTCACTACAGTCTAGTAATAAATGCAGGAGATAGGGTAGGAAGACACAAGCGTAATAATAAGGAAGATGTAAAATTCTAGACCTTCGGAGTGGTCTAGAATTTTAATTGCGACAGGAGGTTCGTTAGAGTAGAATGTATCCTAGGGGATGATAAATATGCAATTATCATCACATAAGGCAGCTACGACCAAGGATGAGGGACATAGCAAGGAAGAGACAAGGATATATAGGGATATACCTAGACCCAAGATTCCATCTTTACGCATACCAGTCCAAGTCTTATAAGGAAGATGTAAGGATTTCACAATGACCAACGAAGATCAGTGCTGCAACAGGGCAACATCCAGATCTATCGAAGGAAAGAACATGGTAAGGAACATTCCTTTTCGAAATGCCTCATCGACTAGTTCAATGGTCATTTAACTTCAGCTCCATGTATAGGTGATCTAGAAGTGGTTCATAAGAAGATGGCATGTAACGGTTGGTCTTAAAGTCACACCGATCGAGCATAATTTGTTCTCAAACTCCCGTCCAGAGTAGAAGCAAATAAAGTCAAAGCTGGTGAATGGTTTTGGAATGGTAGAAGATTGACTCTGCAATTGTGGTCTCTCGTGACAGGAATAAAGTTACTAGCAATGAAATCAGATCACAGGTGGGTGAAGATGTTTGGAATCACTATCCAAGCATGGACTTCAGACACATTCAAATTCATCGGTAACAAGTGTAGTGGTTTTGTTGGATTGACGAAGACACCAAACATAAGGTGCATCTATTCCAAGCTTGTATCTTTGTGAAAAGCAAGGGAGAACTGCCAGAAATTTGGAGTTGATCAATGAGGATTGAGGGTTCGAAATTTCATTATTGGAGAACCATCACGCTAAAGTCTAGCCAATAGGAAAACCTAGCTTCGGTAAAGCAGAGAGGACACCGGTTGAAGTAGGTACCTCGAGCCATGTATCGAGGCTAGTAGTTACACACGTGGGAGGACACTTTGCAACTTTAATTTAAAATTTGGTGCACTTGTTAATCCAAAGGATAAAGGGTTAGCAATCTCAGAGGGTAATGACTAATGAGGGGAGAGGGGATACTACAAGTGCGGTTAAATATTTTGGCTTGGAAGCAAATAAAAACTATTATAAAAAGAGCACAAAAATGAAAGCCCATATAAGAGTTTAGCTTATTATAAGAGAAGACATTTTGGAGATAGTTGGACACAAGCCCAAAACAAATGCAAACCAATTTAATACCTTAGCCATAGTGTCTCTTGGCTTTGAATACTCTGATACCAAAGTCCTTCATAGCCTCCTCTCAAAACAGAGCTCGGAAATTAGCTCCTCTACAGACGGCGAAGCTACTCCACAAGACACATCGCATTCTCCCCTCAAGCATCGAAGTAGTTCCAATAAGCAACTTAGGCACGAATTTCTCTTCCCAAGTAGTTTGCGAAGCTCTTCTGTTGACATGGTACGGGGGTGATTCCAATATGCAGCTAATAGACAAATCTTCTCTTATCGAGACCTCGAAATAGACTAGAATCAACATGGTGAAGGCATGCAAACTCTTTGTGGTTAATGTGACTGTGCTCGAGCATGATCTCCCGGATATTATTCTAAGAATGGAGCAACGGAGACGAATCCAAATTCAGCAAAAGGAGTCAAAGCAAAAGTTTGGAAAGGAGAAGAAAAACAAAGGAGAAGGGGAAAGAAAAAGGTTAGCCTGTGGAATCAATTATGATCGAAAAGGGCAACATGTTAGTGGAAGTAGGGGTAGGCACTACAACTTCTTTTCTGGATGAAGCTATTTATCATGAGCTAGAACGTGCGGGGTTGAATAAGGATGGGAAAAAGACCACTATTAAATCTCTCATTCAAAAGTGGAGGGTGGATATTTGTAGGAGACTGAGATAATAGGACTGGTCTGGTAGAATGATTTAGCAACTGTGGGGTTAGCAGTTGGGATGCTTGGGTGGAATTAAAAATCATGTGGAATTAGGCTAAAGATTGTAATGATTTGGGATAAGAGTCGGTGGAACAAAATAGACACACTTCAGGGTTCCTACTCCATATCATATATGCTTGAGAGTTTTCAAGAGGAATATAGGTTGTGCTTCATAGGTGTTTATGGCCTCACACTAGTCCAAAAAAGGAAGAGATGTGGAATGAACTTATAAGGGTAAGGGGACTATGGTAAAGTCATTAGGTTTTGGGAGGTGACTTTAAGTGTTTGCAGATTTGAAAGTGAAGCTAAATTGCATAAGAAGATCTAGAGCCATGAAATCATTCTGAGACATTATCCAGGATCTTGATGTTATTGATTTACCTCTTCAAGGGGCTCATTACACCTGGTCAGAGCTGATAAACGCATACAAGCATCCAAAATTGATAGGTTTATCATCTGCTGTGGAATGGCACACTTAGAGTTGTGAGACAAACTGCCCTTCTAAAGGTGATCTCAGATTATAGGCCAATCTTATGGGAGAGTGGGGACTTGGAAGCAAATCCTTGTTTCAAATTTGAAAACACGTGGCTACTGTCAAAAGGGTTCCTTGGCAAACTGAAGCACTTATGGCATAGTTAGACTTTTACTGGTAGTGAAGATTTCGTCCTTCTACAAAAGTTGAAAAACTTGAAAAAGGACATCACTACTTGGAATAAGGAAGAATTTGAGAAGATGGAAACTAGGAAAACCGGGGAACTAGATGAACTTACGACATTTGACCAGTATGAAGTAAGGCAATTGACTTTGTCTGAGTCCAATATGATGAACCTGGGAGTTAAATTACAACAGCTAGCCAAAGCAGAAGAGATATCATAGAGGCAGAAGTCTAAGTATCTTTGGCTTAAGGAAGGAGACAGGAACACTAAATACTTCTAAAAGAGTGCCAATTCACACAGAAAGGGAAATTGCACTGACAAATTCACTGTGGGTAGTGAAATCATTGAGGATAAAGAATTGATAAAGTAGACACTGGATTTATATGATAAGCTGTACACTGAACAGGAAAATTGGAGACCTTCTTCTAATTTTGAAGGCATTGCCTCCACAACAGAAGAGGAAAGGTGTGATCTGGAGGCACCTCTTTTTGAAGAGGAGGTAATAGCAGCTAAATCAACTGCATCAAACAAGGCAGTTGTAGATGGGGATACAATGGCCTTTTACCTACAGTCTTGCAAATTCTTAAAATATAAAATCTGACTTCCTTGTAGAGTTGAATCCTTATCATCAACAATGTTTGAGGGTTAGATCATGTAATGCATCCTTCATTGCGCTGATATCTAAGAAGAAAAGTTGGAATTAAGAGACTACATGCAATTGGCCTTTGGCAGTGTATACAAGTTAGCTAAGGTCCTAACAAAAAAATTGAGGAAAGTAATGGGAAACTTGGTCTCAAATCAGCATCCTGTCATTAGAAAGGGGGGGCATATATTACATATGCCTCGTTAATAGCAAATGAGTTTCTTGATTGGCAATTGAAGCAGAGGGGTGAAGGTATCCTATGTAAGCTGGTCATAGAGGAAGTTTTTACCAATTGAAATGGTCCTATCTCATCTCCATCCTTGAATAGATGGTAGTTTTGGTAAAGGTGGATCAAGTTCAACATTTCCATTGTGAGTATTCTATTTTGATCAACATAAGTCCAGTTGTTCTTTTCCCCACAAAGAGGCTTGAGGCAGGGTGGCCCTCTATCATTATTCGTATAATACTAACAATGGAAGGATTGAGCAAAATATTGGACAAAGCTAAGAAGTTGCAATGGCTAAATGGCTTTGAAGTTGGGAGAAGTTGCAACTAAATGGCTTCTATGGGCAGACGATAAACATGTGCTTTTTTTTTAACCTAACACTCCTTGTTTTTGAAGCTCTATCAGATTTGCCAGTAACATGTTCAAAAGTGTAATCTATTCTGTTAATGAGGTGCAAATCTGGAAGAACTGGAAAATATACTGGGAAGCAGCATTGGGACATATTACAGATGTCTCATTAATAGCTTATGAGGTTCTTGATTGGCAGTTGAAGCAAAGGGTGCAAGTATCCTATGTAAAGTGGACATAGAGAAAGAACTGGTCCTATCTTATCTCCATCCTCGAACAGATGGGGGATTGGTGAAAGGGGGATCAAATGGATCAAGTTCAACATTTCCATCGGGAAGTATTCTATTTTGATCAACATAAGTCCAGTTGGTTTCTTTTTCCCAGAAAGAGGCTTGAGTCAGGGTGGCCCTCTATCATCGTTCTTATCATACTAGCAATGGAAGGATTGAGCAGAATGTTGGACAAAGCTAAACAGTTGCAATGGCTAAATGGCTTTGAAGTTGGGAAAAGTTTCCAATTAATATATCTTATCTACTTTATGCAGATGGCACCTTGATTTTTGTGTGGCAAGCAGAAATCAGGTTTACTCATTAACATGCTCAAAAGTGTAAACCATTCTGTTAATGAGTGCAAATCTGGAAGAACTGGAAAGTGCATTGGCATTAGGACTTACCCGCCTACCTACCCAGGAGTTCCACTAGGGGCAAAATACAAATTAGAAGTTGTATGGAGTGGGACCATTGAGAAGTTTGAGAAGAACCTAGCCTCCTGGAAGTTGCAGTATTTATCAATGCGAGGCAGACTAACCTAGATAATAATGTCCTTGGCAACATTCCTACTTACTATATGTCGTTATACCCTATGAGTGGCAAGATTCTGAGACAACTTTAGAAAAGGAATTTCCTATGGGAATTTCCCTAGCATCTTGTAGACCTGTTTTCTGCTCTCATTAATGTTGTATATAGTGGTGGCAATATAAGATGACATCAAATCTGCAACTCTTTAGAAGATTGAAGCCAATGCTTTTGCTTAAGTAGGTCGTTCATGCATGAAACATACCAGGTCATGCATTAGATCCTCTGTTGGACAGACATTTTAGTTGTCTATAGACATGGATTGGGTACCATATATACGTTCTTGATAATCAGAAAATGACTTGCTAGAAATTGAATGCATGTGTTTCTATGTAAAATAGGTTTGATGAGATCGCAGGGAAGCTGCACCAAACATAAATGTCTTGTATGACAGGGGCAAGAGCATAAAAATCTGAAAGTCCAGTGGAAAACCTGGTTAGGTCTTAAATGGTGATCCAGATGTTGTAATAAATTTGAGAAACTTCATAAAATATTGTGTCAGACTGTCACCTTTTCACACCACATAAGAGAGGATGAAGTATAAAAATACAGCAATTTCGTAACTTCGATGTTTCATGTCATTATATTGAGATCTTATTGAGCTTTGTGCTTGGACTTTTGGTAAAGAAAAAAAAGACATCCTGAGGCTTGTCTTGGCTCTTTGAAGTTGTTGCTTCTCAATTTTCATGCTCAACTGTCTCGTCTCTTTCCTCCTTCATGGCTATTCATGAGTTTTCGTCAGTCCTTGTAGTTAAATGTTATTGCTGTTCGATTGGTGATTTTTAATTTTTGAATACTTGTTGTGGCTGGCAACATCAGCACCTTTACAAACTAACTTGATTAGTTTCCAACTTACTGAATAAGTCGGCTTGTGTACTCATTTACTATATTTAGTAATCGATTGCAGATAATGACCATTCTCTTTTGAATATTTCTTCTTTGAGAATATTGTGGCATAATACATAATTTCTTAATTCTAGAACAGTGGTAAATAAGTGACTGCAACTTAAGTACAATTCGCGTTTTCATAACTCCCTTTGCTTCTCCAGATGTATTTCCTTGATGGTGAGGCGATCTCAGAGGTGATTATACACTACTTAAGGTTCCTAAGTTCTAGGAGGAGGAGAACCATTCTTCAGTATTTCCTATTGGGTGGGACCGTTGCATCTATTCTTATTATCTTCGTTCAGGTTTTCCTTGTTTTATTATGAGATAGTATTTTGCCAAAATATTGCTTGTAAAGGGGTGGAGCTTGGAGACAGATTTGCTCTCCCTGAGAGTTTGGAATTATTATGTCATTTACTCATGTATGTTTTGACAGATTAGCGTGGTAAATGTTCTTTTGTGTCTTTGCTGCCTCCTGTGCCCCACAAAAAGAAAAGACGAGAGAAGAAAAAAACCTACACTTTTCGTCATTGAGTTAAATTTTACCTGTAAAAAATGTTTACTATGCACTTTCTTTTTCCCTTTTTTTTGTGGCTGTATTGGCTGCCTTGAACCTTTACTCTAGCACAAAATTTGGTAGAGTAGCAATCTTATGGTATAAGCTATTTTTGATTCGTCATCAAAGTTTCATGTTTGCGCAAATAATGTCTTTCTTTGAGTGATAATTCAAATGCTGTTAAATTCTATTCAGACTAAGTGCATATGGTAGTTTCTAGGGAGGTGCGATATGATTGCCTTATCTAGCTGCTTAAATTAACAGAAATGAAGTTGAGACAGTATGACCTGCGAATATCTGTTAATCGGAAACTGTTCTCTATTATTTGGGCCTTAGAGAGTGGCAGGTTGATGCAGACTTGATAGTTAATGATGCATATGTTCTTGACGTAGTGCATGAAATAGGGATGCTTCAAAGGCGGTCTTCAAAACTTTCTTCTACTATTTACCATATCAGAAACACCTGAAAGAAGAAGAGGGTACTCACCTTGTATTGTTATCTCTCTCTCTCTCTCTAAGCCTATGTAGAGGAAGTGCCTGTGGTGTAAACGAAAGAAAGCAGAGAGAAGAGGTTTAGGAAGACACTGGAGCAGTGTGGGAAAAATTAGAGAAGAGAAGAAGATTAGACGAATTGAGCCAAGGAGGAGAATTTTGTATCTGTTTTAGAGCGTAGCTAGTGGTTACTATGTTTTTCGGGCTCAACGACCAAATATATTTGTTGACTAAGTGAATGCAAATGGGTGTAATAGACAAGTTCACTTTCCAAAATATGATGGTATGGTACACACATTCCATGGAGGATAGACTCCAGAATGACATATGAGTAGAAGCTCTTATTTTTTCCCAATGATATTTATCGAAGACAAGTTGTAAAAGATTATTCTATAATAAAAATAAGGATAAATAAACTAGAACATCAATTTTCGATTAGAACCATCATTTTGATGTCCCTAAATAACTCTGCTCACTGTTTTGCGTTTCTTATAAAGAAAGAAATGGGAAAGTTGTTCATGGTGGAAGCGTAATCCTTTTAGTTGGGTCACATGTCCAAGATTGACGACATCGACACATTAGTTGCCTGTGGGTTGAAACATATGCCTATCTCCCATACTTAGTGACCGTCTCGATGGCATTTCCAATTTGTTTAGCATTACTCGTTGTCGTTGATCCAGGTCTAATTATTCTATGATTTTCGAGTGTTTTCAAAAGATCAAACCTGTCTTTCAATTATATGGTTAGATTAAAATATTGTTCTTGAATGTAGCTTGAAGCACAACAGGTTTCATGCTTATTATATAGATCTTTCCAGAACCTCTGGCCTTGCTTACAAGCTACTTCGGAGGTAAGTAAATCTGGCCAGTGTTCATACAACTTATCTTTTTCACCTTCATATTGTAAAGGTTAGGAAAAATATTTATTATTCAACAGAGTGGAAGAGGAAAGAATTGACAGAGAAGAAACATGTAGAAATGCTCGAGTACATAACACTGTAATTTACCGTAAATTGTGTACTGGGAAAATGACATTGTACGGCCGTTGTCAAAATAATAGCCAAAAAATGTATATTTTTTTGTATATATATACATTCTATATGTTATATACAAAAATTATATAAATTTTATACACTTTTTCGGCTACTGAATGTAAATAGCTGGCTAGAAATGATAATACTCCAATTATATTGTACAAGTGAAAATAGCAGGGGCTAGCCAGTTTTCGGATTGGTAATTGAAAAATGGCCAACGTTTGCAAAGTCATTGCAAAATAGCCACTATTTTGCTGCAGCACGGAAAGTTCAAGCATAATATACTGGAGATTAATGCACCTGTGTATGAGCTTCCAACATATTATGCTAGAACTCCAATATATTATGCTGGAAGTTCACATGTAAAAAATTTGAACTCCAGTATATTATGCTGGAATATTTTTTCGGATTTGTACCAGTGTTTTTATTCAAATTTATCTTTACATAAAATGTGGCTAAATTTCGATTACTTTTGACTGTGGCTATTTTCAATTAGCACTTGTAAATTTGGCTATTTTAGAATTTCACGTACACAATGATCCTTTGTTTGGTACAGTGTACGGTCCAGGCAATTTGCAGTTAACAAACCAGTGGTCGTTGTTGTTAGCTGGCCGAAGCCCAAGGACTATAAAGTGTTAGGGATATAGTAGATATGTCATAGATCCAATCTCATATTTGATGATTTGAACATATTTTTGTGAAGTTTATTTGATATAAAAATATATGGCATTCTTTTATCATAGTTATTATTAATTATTTGATTAATTTGATAAGGTCCTTGATTAAATTTTGAAATTTGTCATCATGATAATGAGAGCAAAGTCTCTTACAATTTAATCTAAACTTGTTCTTGATCGTAGGATTATTAATTTGGACATTAGTAGTCCGGTTAGATCAATATTTATGTGATTGTCTTTATGAGATAAAGATTAGTTGATCTCATTAACTGAATCACATAGATAGATGATGCATATAGAGATATGATCATTGAACTGACTCATTGGATAATTCCTAATGGTTAGAATTACCATAAACTGTCAATAGGATATTCTCTTTAAGAATGTGATGTAAGAGTTTCCTTTGACCCGAGATCGTCATAGTAATTGACAAGTTATTTGTTGTGCTTTAATACTAGACACCTATGGCCCTAGGGCGCTAGTTGAAAAGATATTGGGTACGATTAAATACTTGTAGAATTAGTGATTGATCAAGATGGAATCTGTCAACTCTTGGTAATGAGTTTAAGCTCCATGTTGTCATGAATTATAAACGACCAAATTAAGACCTTGGCCAGGGCAATTGAATGAAAGAAGAAAAGAGTTTCTTAGGTCATTCAATGGTCGAATATATTTGACATGAACACATAGTTGTTCGCCTATTAGGATTTGACAGTTGAACCATATCCTAGGGTGATCCAGAGCTATAAGGACAGAAGGAATTACTACGTTATTCTTCTACTGGTTCTTGAGAGTAAATTATATACTTCATGCTATCCGGTCGTTAAGGAGTATTGCTAGACGCCACCCTTGATTAGTATATTGATATGGTCAATTTACTACTGGTTTAGTATTGAACCTATGGGGTCGCACACTAACGAGTGTTCTGATCTTTGCTAAAGGATTAATTACTTTATTATTTGTTAATTAAATTAAAGAATTTAATTAGTCAAATAAATTTAGTTAGTTAGTCCAAATGAAAAATTATTATATTCTTTGCTAGTACAGAGGATATAATTAATGTTGTAAACAAATTAAAATTTCTATTTGGAATAGAAAATGATTATATATCTTGATTTAAATATATATATATATAATATATATAATTAATATTTATTTATTTATTTAAGGTATGTATATAAATATTAACGAAGGATTGTAAGTAAATCCTATTTGCATTGGATTGACACAGAAGTCCAAAAAGGATGTGAGGCTAAGTTAAACCCATTAAGAATGGGAGTGATATTAATTATTTAATATAAAATGTTAACTAAGTCTCATAATCCAATTCAATTTAATTGGAATTGAATTGAAACGTCAATAAAGCTAACGATGGCACACGTTATTCCATAAGGAATGAGATATACGGTTTTTCCAATGGAAAAGTTCGGAAAGTTTATTTTTGGAATAAACTCTACCCTAAGCAAATCATTACCTCAACCAAATATGAATAGGATTTATAGGTGATGTTATATAAAGGGTGATGGAGAAAATTTGTCATTGTTAATTCTTGAGAAGAAAAACACTTTGTAAAAGTGAGAGTTCAATACAAAGTCAAGAGAGAAAATACAATTACAAGAAAAGTGTTTCTTGTTCTTCTAACATTGAGTTGAGAATTTTTAGAAAAATTTCAATACAATATTCTTCGTTCAATTTGTTTGCGGGTTTCGTTGATCAAAGAGTACTTGATAGCAAAGATCGGTCTCGGTGTGGATATACATAGAGTCTATGCACTATCGAAGAATTTGAAACGAGACTTTCTTCATCAAGTACGTCTTAGATCCGATCTATTGACATGTAAATAAATTTTAAACGCGAAAAGATCTGCCTTGGATTGTTATTGTCTTCCGCTGCGTGTTACGAACACCTATATGCAATCCTTCAGTGGTATCAGAGCCATGGTTTCTCGTGTCTAAATTTTATTTACGAAATATTTTAAGATTATATTTTAAGAGTTCAAACCATAATACATGTGTCTTGTGCAATAGTCAAATTGTTTGAATACATATGGATTGATATTACTTTATTGTGAATAAAATATGTATTCATATAAGTTAAACTATTGAGATAGTTCGTAACTTGAATTTGAAATTTTGTATTGGGTACGATGGTAACCTATAATAGGTTATTGGATTCTACTATTATTTTAATTGTTATTAGTTCATGAGATGTTAATTAATAATAATATTCTAGCATAGATTATTTTTTTGTGATATATGTGATATATAAGATAAACATGCTAGAAGATGTTGAATTTCGTTTTTATGTCACGTGCTTGTTCATTATATAATTTTGAATTATTTATTACATGTGATGTAAATTATTTTAGGACTAAGCATGTAGACAATTTGAACCAAATTCGCATGCTATAAAAGATTTGATCTTCATGTTATTAAAAGTACTAAAATTTGAGTTCTTAAATAATAAAGTATAAGATATTTTATTATAAAGCTATCCATCAAAATAAATAATCTTACTTATCTCTTGTTTATAAGGAGCGGCCTGACTACCAGGAGACTTATAGTTTGAGAATATATTAAAATTATTTATTGCATTAGATGTATGGATTGAAAGAATTATTCAATTTTACACGAGACGCCTGGACTACCCGGGGAGTATAAAATTTAATAAGTTTTTTGCTATCATGATGGTTGAACTCAACTATGCTAATAGGATCGACCTGACTACCAAGGAACTATTTGACATAGAGCTATTTAAAGAAATCGTATGAGGATACAATTGGTAAGAGTACCTACCTTTAAAATATATGTGAGAAACGAATTGACTTCCAAGGGGCTCATACATATTGTTAAAGGATTCATTTACTCCACTAACAGAAATAAAGATTTCGTAAACTATAATGAGGGTAAATAGTTTAAAATAATTAGTGAAAATATCATTTGGATAAAAGTCCACGCCTTTATGATATATGCAAATATGTTCTTATATTATTGCCTTTTCTTTTTTTATTTTTAAGATTTCTCAATATGTCTGCTATATCATTGCGTGGAATAATTGAGACCAACAAGTTG